GTTCAATTCTCTCCTGAGGACCCTTCGAAAACGACAGAAAAAAGGCGGTTTTTTGGTTTTCCTCCACGTCCCCCTGACCTGGGCGCCTTCCGGGGCCCAGGCTCAAGGATTGGGTGCTTTTGGTACAAAGACAAGTATGACCGCAATTGCGAATTAGGGACAGAGATCTCGGATAACTGGGCGAGCCCGTCGTTAAGGTATATACGAGCGGTTTTCGCGGCTCCCCACCTTCCTTGGACTAGCAACCGATCAAAACTACCGTGGTGTTGGAAAAAGAAAGTAGCCCCACCCCTTCGGAGTGAGTAGGGGCGGTAGGCATATTCCTGGAGCTTTAGTCCTGCAATGGCGAGATTAAATCGGCGTCGCCAGGCATGAGACTTTTCAGTCAAAAAGTCATGGGGTCTAGCTTGAAGTTTCCACTTGTACAGGCTGGGTAGCACAGACGAATCATGGATCGTGATACTTTCCGCCGCCCCTTGGCGTGCACCAGACTTAGTCAGTCCGAGCGATATCACGGCTGGACCTTTCGCACTAGTGAGGTACACATCTTTGGACTGTATGCTTAAAAGTTCGCCAGTGCGGAGGAGTCCAAAAAAGGCGACTCGTAAAGAAAGGCCAAACAGCGGGCAGTCTTGAAGCACGCTCCAACCGCACAAGGCATTCAACAAGTTGAGCGTCAGCGGAGGAGCTCTGTTTGGTATTTCTGCGGCGTTCCACGCCTTCATCAGGCGCCAGCTCCCCGGAAGCTTCTTTTTGAGGTTTGGATCGTGGTCCTGTAAGGCTGCAAGAGCATTGTTGGCAACTGACTTTCCTTCTCCAGAGGCCCATAGAAACTCCAGGTAGTCGGAAACAAGGTTATCCATCTGGGAGGCCTTCTTGGGCAGGCTTAGTCCCTCCCTTGTGAGCCAATCAAGGAACTGGCGCAGCGACTGGTCGTATCGTTGTCGAGTACGTGGCTGGACTGTAAGGTCTTTCAACTTTCCGAGACTCTTGCGAACTTTCTGGCGCTGCTGCTTGCTGCGGCCTTCAACTATCTTCTTCGAGCTTTTAGCCATCCTTTGCGAATGGGCCGGCGGGATGGTTTATCCGCCGGGTTTTGCTTTGTATCAATGTAGCCCCAAGCTACATGCAGGCCACTAGCCAACAACAGCGCACTAATCTTTGCAAGAGTCCTTCGGAGTTTTCGACTGCTGGAACGACCACGCGAGAGAGCATGCAGAACCACCAAGGAGTCAACAAGATGCAAGCATTTGCTGCCGGACTCTTGAAGCTCTTTGATTCTCCATACAAGGGCGGTTTTTACAGCCCGGAGCTCAAGTGCATTGATATGTTCTGCTTCACCCGTCCACCTCCAACCGACAACGTCGCGCCACCGCCACAGTTTTCCAGGAATGGAGGCCCGCAATCGATGGTATCGGGCAGGAATGTCTGTGCTCAGTTGCAGGAGGATGTCCTCACCCTTGACGGAAATCTGCCCAAGCAGTTTCCTTACGAGGCCGTGGCACTCCTGTCCCGGCTGCGTTGTGTGGCGTAGTGGGGGACGCATCAACAGTCCTGCCATAGTTGCGCATTTCCCGGGCGTAAGCTGATCAACCAGCTCTTGAACTGTCTTGAGCTCGTTCAACCCCAGTGTCGCAAACAAGCAGTGCAACAAACACGCTACAACGGGCACCGACCAACTGTTCCCCAAGAGGGTGAGCCTGATGTCATTGCCACGCTCTGAACCTGTCTCAGCCTTGGGCAAGCATTTGGCTGTATACTGAGAGGGAAAGCCAAGAATGGCTTCTCGTTCTGCAATGGACGGCACTCGGACCTCACCTTTGGAATTCGTGAGCGAGTTCTCCCAACGGTATTGGTACGGGGGGAAACGGTGTAGGTGAGCGTGCCATCTGGCGACAGCGTCCGGGGGGCAGAGCGCAAGCCCAGCGGGCTTACGCCCAGGAGTAGGAGACGGCCGTGACGTAGTAAAGGTCGGCAGGCTGACGGGGGAGGTGCGCTGCCAACCGGGTTCCAGGAAGTCACGCTCATCGACAGTTGCCTTCAACTCATACGCACCTGCAACCGGCAGTCGGTGGACCGCTTGCGTGTCTATGGTGGCCCCTACAAGGCGTCTAGGCTCCCAGTTAAACCAGTACAGCCGGGGCCTCCGACACAAGGACAACCCACCGGCATCCACCAACCAAGGGTCCATGCCATACGCACGCGACATGACTTGACAATCAGCAGGATCCATGGATGCGACATTCTCAACAAGGGTGAAGGTCGGGCACCATGTGAAGAAGCGCTTCAGCAGTGCCTCCACCCTGGGCACATGGGAAAACAAACAGGACCGCACATCTCGCAAAGCACCCCGACGGTCCGCGTTGAGTCCCGACACTCCTTGGCACGGTGGCCCCGCGCCAAGGAGCACGGCGCAAACTCCTGGGAATCGCAGGCACCAACTGCTGACCTCGTTCTCACCAATGTCCTGCACATCCTCAATTGCGATCACCTCGGGAAACCAACTCTCCACCACACGCCGGGCTTCTGGCGAGGTCTCAGCCGACACATACCCTGCAACGGGGACTTGAAGGGAGTCAACAGCCACACGCAGTGCTCCAATGCCATCAAAGAGGGATACAACCAAGATAGGATTAACTTCATCCTGGGAGATCACATCTCCCCTGCAACTAGCTAAGCTGGCTGCCACCCCATAGGGGCTCAAGCTCCTTGACACGCACAACCCTCCTCCTGTGGTGGACGCATCACTTGCTGTTACCTTTTCTGAGACCGGCGTCCGAAAATCCATGAAAGCCAACGGGGTCAGTGCAACAAAGCGCAACAACTCATGCTCCACCTCTGCTCCTAAAGGGGCACGCTGAGAGGGTCGCAACTTGTCCAACTCAACCACACGCCTCCAAAGGGCGTTCAAACCAGCAAGCAGGGGGCGTCTGAACATGGCAATGTACACAAACCCTCCTCCGATGACCTGCAGCTCTCTTTGCGACGCTCTTCCATGAATCACCGCTTCACACGCCAGCTTCACGTACCTCATGACCTTCTCAGGCTTGGGCCCTGCCTTTCCTACTTCGCCATCCACCCATGCGCCCTGTACCTCTGCCTTCACTGCCTGCGTGACAGCCTTCTTCGGGTGTCTGGGGAGTCCTAGGGTCTCATATGTTTGTCGTACAGCTAGAGTCCAAGCCGATGGGGTCCCCGCCAACATGTCTGCCAATGTCCTGTCAACCTTCTTTAGCTCATCATAGTTATCCAGGTACACGCGGAAGAGGTGAGGTGCGCTACTAGCCGGTCTGTCCCTTCGGATCTCTTGATGACCAGATGCCAACCTCGACTCACCTTTCAATGCTTGATTGATCACTCGTCGGTGGACATGTTGAGCAATAGCTACCGAGTTTATGAAACCCATAGGCAACACCTGCGTCACCAAGTGCCACCCTGTCCCCGCATATCCTCCTGGGAGGGCCTCACTAGGGACCTCCCGTCCAAACCCCATGTACTTCCACCAACTGGGCGGAGTTCGGAACAGATAGAAAAAACAGCGAATGTCCTCTGATGAGGTCACGAGGAGTTGGTTGTCTTCAAGAATGATTGATGACATCCCTACAACACTGGGCAAAGTTGAGGTGTCTCCGACCAAGCTCCGGCAACAGGCGTTCGTCGGCACTAGGTTCATGATCAACCGACAAACTTCAAACAGGTTCCCGTGAGCATCTGTCGCCTGTTCCTGCTTACTAACAGCAAAAAGTCCGTTCAGTAATGGTCGTCCTCCTATATGGTGTAGTTCACTGCGATGCATGAGCCGGCATACCCCCCTTCGGATCAACCCCGAACACACCTCAGCCCAGTGGCTGGCCTCCACCATGATGCTTGGAGCCTTTCCCAAATGCTGGTCCTGAGGCGGCAGAAGAAATTCCTCAAAGTTCTTCACATA